TGATCTTCTTCACAGTGAGTAATGTCTGAGTTACATTACTTTGGGGTTCAGATTGAAAAAGACTGATCAGAAATCACCAGACATCACTACCCAGACTGCACTGCAACATAACTAACATAAGCGGAAGTTCCTTTTAACGCACCAACAGAGATCATTAATGTAATTATTTTGATTATTTTCTACAGTTTAGAGCAGTTTGTGTTGATTTTGACTCTAAGTGTCACCATAAAAGGCAGATCACCCTCCTTGTTTGTGGAAGCTTAATCAACAACGCCATCTGCTGGAAGATTACTGCATCAGCTGTGTTATTTTCCAGCTTTACACAACCTGATCATTGGTGTCGTTCACTGTACATTAAATCACATGTAAAACAACAACTATTAGTTTTTTCAGTTCTACCATATTTCAGAAACACAGTAACACTAAGTTATGATGCGTTATTATAACATCACTCTGCTTTGTTTTCTCGTGTTTCAGGTGAAGTCTGTGATCAACCTGCTGTTTGCTGCTTACACAGGAGACGTGTCAGCTCTCAGGAGGTACGCCAGCTCTCAGGTTTAGTGTCAGTAACACTCAGGACCGTTGGACAGCACGGAGACATTCATTTGATTTTAATTTCAAATATGATTTTTGGCATTCAGCGATTAGAAAACAGAAGAACCAGGATAAACTTTTGGATTCATTCATTTTTCCACCACACACAGATAACAGGCAGGTACACAAACCTCCGTGTAGACTTGAGCGCTCACCATCCGATGACAGCAGCTACATCACTTGGGCCCAGGAACACCAATTGGATTATTTGACTTGTTGGTTTGGAATAAAAAACTGCACTAAAACTTGGCACCAATTTAAATCAGCAGGGTCCTGCTCTCATCTTTACATTCTGCTACGTTCCTGTAAGTTAATATTTCTAAATTAATCTTTGCAGGCTAATAATATAAAGTCTTTCATTCCATTCATTGTGCTCCCATGATGGATGTGAATAAAACTACTCGACGGTTCCTCTTTTTCTGCTGTGATGTTCTGCAAACACTGCAGGATTTTGACACTTTGGAGGGGGATAATGTATCTTTAGTAAACTGATCATTTTCCTGAAACTAGCGAATCATGTTTACTGGATAGTTGTCTATGGCCAAGTGGAAAGTGATTGGTTGATTTCAGTCTATTTCAGTTGAGAGCTGGATGGATACAGCCTCGCTTTTATGGGACATCTGAACCGATGTTGAACAGATCGCGTTAGAAATCATTGCAATGTTTTTATTATTTAACATCACTCGCATTAAATCAGAACTGCTTAGTGGGAGTAGCCCACACCATCTATTGTATCCACATTTATTTTTTGTTGTGTGTCTGTCTGTCTTCAGACTAGTCCTGTAAACTTCAAGCTGCTCAGTGCAGGGGAAGGCTATGCTTAGCACATGGGGACACATCATCAGTACTGATTTAGGGACCGCTTAAATGAGCTCTTTGCATTTTCATTGGCAGAGCCCACATTTTAAATATCAGTCAGTAATACTCACGCAATTGTGGGAAGCCAAAATCAGGGAGTTTGCAAAAAGGGAAAGACATCTTTGCCTGTTTTGAGTCTCTTCTCAACAGCTGAGGTGCAGCTGAGGTGCAGCATGTCCACCAAGGAAAAGGAGGTAGAGGTCTGATATGAAGATGTCAGCCTCTAGATGGCTTTTTTCCCCCCAGTTTAGTCTGCAAACATCACTTCTAGTCTTCAGGTAATTTACCTTCAGCACCATCGCAAAGAGCTTGAAACTTAAAGAAACCCACATGATTGAACCAAGTCCAAATTTAAAAACTAAATGCAGTCGCTTCTGGTTGTTTCCACATGGCTCTCACTCCTTCCTTCCTGCTTGGCTGTTCTGTCTTTGTGCAGGTTTGCGCTGTCCTCCATGGACATGGAGCAGAGGGACTACGACTCGAGGACAGCGCTGCATGTGGCCGCCGCTGAAGGTGAAATGCGTACAGTCAGGTTGTCGTCATGGCAATTACTCTGTTCAGTCAGCTGACCCGATGTTTGTGTGTTTCAGGACATGCTGAGGTGGTCCGCTTCCTGCTGGAGGCCTGCAAGGTCAACCCAGTTCCCAAAGACAGGTAACAGAGACCACACTTTACTTTAGTTATCTTTTTAATAAACAAATAAATACATGTAAAAAAAAAA